CCCCCAGCTCTGCTGGTGCCCCTCCATCCTGACCCCCACCCTGCTATCCCAGCCCTGGGCTCCTCCTCCCCCCAGCTCTGCTGGTGCCCCTCCATCCTGACCCCCACCCTGCTATCCCAGCCCTGGGCTCCTCCTCCCCCCAGCTCTGCTGGTGCCCCTCAGTCCTGACACCCCCTTCCCCCAGCTCTGCCAGTGCCCCTCAATCCTGACCCCCACCCCTGCCATCCCAGCCCTGGGCTCCCCCCACAGCTCTGCTGATGCCCCTGAGTCCCGACCCACAGCCCCCCGGTTGTTCACCCCTGGACTCCTGCCCGTGCACCCATAGTTCTGCTGCTGCCCCCTTCCTGCTCCCCAGCGCCCCCCGCAGTCTGCTGGGAGCCTCCCTCCTGGGCACGACCCGGAGCCCAGGCTGACACCGGTCTGGCTGGGGTTGCAGTGGGCTGATCTCTCTGTTCTCTCTGGCTCTCTGCAGATCCTTGCTGCAGACGCTGCTTCACCAGCACCACCGGGAGACCTGCGCCCGCATCTCCTCGGCCCTGGTGCTGCTGACGCTGGCCTTGGCCTTGGCCTTTTACCAGATGACCTCCGGGGGCTCCTCGCGGCTGGGCGGCGCCCAGGTTCCCAGGCAGGACGGTGGCGCCGGACAGATGGGGGCGCAGGAGGAGCCTGGAGACATCCCATCTGCGGCTCACATGCATGCACGGGGCGTTTACCATCATGCCACCCTCATCACCAGCTCAAGTGAGCGTCACACAGCATGGGGTGCAGGCCCCAGCCCAGCCCGGGCCCCCAGAGGGCACCGCTTCCTCCTGCCGTGTTCAGGCTGGGTACCCCTCGGGTCGCTGTGATGGGCTCCCTGGGGTACAGCCTGGAACTGGGGTACAGTTGAGCCTCTGTCTTACCAAACCTGGGCTCCCGCTCGCACTGGGATGCTGTGACAAGCTGCAGACCCCTCCAGGTCCTGCACTCACACAGCTATTTACAGACAGGGACACACCAGCTGAGTTACATGAATACTTTCACCAGCCACTCATGAACCAACAAGAGAGAGGCCCCAGCCAGTTCCCCCGAGCCCCCCAGCCTGGGACCCCAGAGCTGTCCCGTCCTGCCCTGGTCAGAAGCCTGACCAGTGCAAGTTGTTACCCAGTTACCCTCCCTCAGTGTGGAGAGGACAACGCACCAGCCCCTGTTCCTAAGCAGATTTCCCTTTGCACTTCAAACAACTCACTGTCTTAGGTAAAACATATAAAACAGATTTGTGAATTACAGCAAGAGAGATTCTTAGTAACAGCGAACAGATCAGAGCTGGTGACCTAAGAAATAAAACAACTTTGCAATCTGAGTTCTAGACACTAGACAGGCTTTGACTCCAGCAGCGTCTCACCCTGATGGTACAGGCACTGTGATCCCCTACCTTTTCCACAGGGCGGGCGCCAGACGACTACCCACCGAGGACCGTGGCCGCCGGACAAGCGGCCGCCGAAATGCCACCGTGACGCGGCAATGTCAAGAGGAGTCGCCGCTGAAATGCCACCGAAATTCGGCGGTAGCGCCTCTTGACGTTGCCGCTTCACGGTGGCATTTCGGCAGCTGCTTGTCCAGCGGCCAGTAGGCGAGCGCACATAGATGCCCCGGTGGGTGCCATGGTGCCCGCGGGCACCATGTTGGGGACCCCTGTCCTAGATCCTCCTTTCCAGCCTGGGCCCCTCTCCCACGTCCCAAGGCGTTTCCCTCGAGCCGTGTTTCCAGGTGTTGAGTTGTGGGGGAGTGAGGCCACGTGATGACATCACTTCCCCCTTTTATAGCTTCTCCCCTGTGGAGGGAACTTCCTTGTCCCCAACATAAGCCCCCAGCACGTTTGTGGGAAGGTCCAGGCACAAGATGGAGTCCAGTGTCACGTGATCTATCCCGCTGCCCTCACGTGCTTCCGTGAGTCTCTGCAGCCATTACCCAGACACCGGCTGCAGCGTCCACAGGACGGGGTGCCAGGGTGTTGCTTTGGGGCACAGAAGGTCACCGCTGCGCCCTGTGCTCCTGGCTGGGCTGCAGAGGGCCATGAGGAGCCGGGGCAATGGGCCCACACTGCCCCCCTGCTGGGAGTGCAGGGCTGGGGGCGGCACAAGCGCTGCACAGGGCCCGCGCCACCCGTCCGTCCCTGACGCCGGGGCCTGTCGGTGCCTTGCAGAGACCTGCTCCCGCCTGGGCAAGGACCTGCTGGTGGCCGGCGGGAACGTGGTGGATGCCGGGATCGCAGCTGCGCTCTGCCTGGGGCTGGTCCACCCGCATGCCGGGGGGCTGGGTGAGTGCGGGGCCGGGGCGAAGGGGTGGAGCTGCCCCCGGCCTGGGCAACTAGGGTTCCTGCTCCCCGCATGGGTCCCCCTCACCCCACCGTAGCCAGAGCTGCGGGATGTGTCGTCAGGCCAGGGAGTGCGGGGGCTGGGCATGGCGTGGGCGAGCTCTCAGAGCGGGACCCTGGCAGGGGCTGAAGGGCTGCAGTGGGGGGTGTCTCAGGGGTGCTGGTGGGGGTACAGTGGGGGGTGTATTGGGGGGAGCTGGCGGGGGTACAGTGGGGAGGAATGTCGGGGTGCTGGTGGGGGAGTACAGTAGGGGGGTGTATTGAGGGGTGCTGGCGGGGCTCCATTGGGGGGTGTCTCAGGGGGTGTCTCAGGTGTGCAGTGGGAGGTGTCTTGGAGTGCTGGCAGGGGGTACAGTAAGGGGGTGTATCGAGGGGTG